TCTCAAAAATACATAAATAAATAAATAAAGGTAAGCTTTGTTTTAATTTTTTTATAATTAAAATTGACTGAACATTTATTGGTTTAAAAATAATCAAATTATTATACTTATCTACATTAAATAAATTTTAAAAAACTAACTTATACTAACTTTTGTATTAAGTTAAATACAAAATACCACTATTAAATTGTATCGCTTAAAAAAAAAATGATTGAAAAAAATCGATGAAGATTATTTTTATTTTATTTTCATTGATTAATTGAGTTTAGAACGAAAATTTAAGATAGCAGTAATTGTGCAGCAATTACAAAATAACAGTAGGTCTACTAAAAATAATTGACAAGAATCGTTAAATACAGACAGAAAAGAAAAATGGTATGAAATAATGCAGAACGGAACGATCGCTAAGTAGCAAAAGTATCACTGAAAATAATTTACATAATATACAATTTACATTTCGAACCTTCTGTGAAAATTTCTAACAAAACTGAAAACTTTCAACAGTCAAAAAGAAAATATAAAAAATATGCATGTGAATTGCTCAGCGAGAAAATTTTTTTAAAACAAAGTCAAAGTTTGCATAACATTATGTCATCATATATTGCGGAATTAAGTAGGAAACTTGAAATATGCGAAAATCTTAATACGAGAATCCAAAATTCAAACATTTTGCTGTGCAATGGAAAATGATCCGTACAAAGCGTTAACATTTAAAAAAAAATTCAAAATAAAAAATAATATTTTTAAAAACCACGTTTTTGTAGTGGAGAATAATAATTAAAAAAATTTGTAAAACGAAAAACGTGGGGCGCATGAAATACATAACAGTAATGTTATATTAGTGTGTGTATGTGTGCTCATGAGAATTTGTGTATGTATATCTGTAATTGTAATTGCATCTGAATGTGGAATATGTTTGTGTATATGCGTATGTATGTGGACGTATATGTGGCAGTGCATGTGTATGAGTAAGAAAATGTGTATATGTATGCGTATATGTACTGTTATGTATTTCATTCACCCCACGTTTTTCGTTTTTCAATTTTTTTTAATTATTATTCTCCACTACAAAAACGTGGTTTTTAAAAATATTATTTTTATAAACAGAATAACTATTACAAGTTATAAACCTATAGCTATACTTTTTTGGCATAAGGTGTTCAAAAACATTGTTTTCCTTTTCCGATCCGTCCCTCAGACCTTTGAAAGTTTTAAACTTCATTGATATGAATAAGAAATCGCATAACCTAAACGCTTCTAAATTTATAAAATGATTGTATAAGTATTTTTTGAGAAAGATTTTAGGAAAATGTGTTAGTACAAAAGTGTTTCCATTATTTTTTCATGCCCCTATACATATAGTGAAGGAAATGTATATATATTGAGGGAAATGTATATAAATCGAAGGTTACATAGGATGTATGTTGTATATTTTTAGATCTTCATTTTGAAAAGATACCAGTATATAGTTTGTCTACGGTAATAACTACCCCCGCCACAAAGTCTGAGGCCGTCTGCTGCTATGGAAACAAGAATAGTTCGTTTCAGGCAGAGTAGCATCTCTTCACTCTAGGTATAACACAATAGACCAGAGAAAAAGATTCCCTTTCTCTCGCCGACCTTACCTGAAATAGTTATACCTTGTTACCATAGTCACCGCCACTAGTCCAGACGAATGGCTTGGGGAGTTCTTATTTTAGACAAACTATACGTATCAAACTAGGTTAAAAGCTCGAATCGCGAAATAAATCAAAAGATCTGCGAAAGCAGTTACGAGGGATTGGCGAGCGCTGCGAGCAGGTGGTGGGGGTCCTCTGGTTTAAAGTTAAAACTTAAAAATTGTTTTTTGTCATAATTTGATATAAATGAAATAATATATTTGATGAAATTTGATGTAAATGAATATTAGTGTTGAAAACTAATACTGAAATGTTTCTAAGAAATGGATAAAAATTATGCCTACAGATTAAAATAAAATGAATAGCGTTGTAACACAACAAAAACAAATAAATAATTAAC